GCTCCGGAAGCGCAGGGTCAGCGGCCGAGGCTCACGGGCCCAGCCGCTCCACGGCACGCGGGATCCTCCCGGACCGGGGCACGAACCCGTGTCCCCTTCATCGGCAGGTGGACTCCCAACCACTGCGCCACCAGGAAAGCCCTCTTTTTTTTTCTTTTAATAAATTTATTTATTTTTTCGACTGCGTTGGGTCTTCGTTGCTGTGCGCGGGCTTTCTCTAGTTGTGGTGTGCGGGGGTTACACTTCGTTGAGGTGCACAGGCTTCTCATTGTGGTGGCGTCTCTTGTGGAGCACCGGCTCTAGGTGCGTGGGCTTCAGTAGTTGTGGCTCGTGGGCTGTAGAGCGCAGGCTCAGTAGTTGTGGTACACAGGGTTTAGTTGCTCCGCGGCATGTGGGATCTTCCCAGGCCAGGGCTCAAGCCCGCATACCCTGCATTGGCAAGTGGATTCTTAACCACTGCGCCACCAGGGAAGTCCTAAAAGCTATTTCTTGTACTGCTCCTTTGACAGCTCAAAAGCTGGGCCAGCTACTAGGTGTGCTGGGCATTCGCTTCTTTTCTGCCTGGGTCTGCCCTTATTCCAGCCAGTGGTGCTGACCTGGCCATATTTCCTTTGCATTTAGGACTCCTCTGTGTGCGCTTGGAAAACTAAACACTGTTCAGGTGTTTCGGGGCAGACCTAAGTCAAGGCATCATACATTCTCAGCGTTCTTTGTCTTCATCTTGCGGTAAATCTGTACGGCTCCCTTTCGGTCATGACTTAGTTATGCATTGAAGGCAGCCTTGCAGAGAACAGGGAATACTCTTGTATCTGCAAAATAGAGCAGCTGTTCTCCCACCCAAACCTTAAGTTACCAAAAACCCCATTTTAGGAGAATGTGCATTTGAGAAATTTGTGACCAAAAGGGAAAGATGGCATTGGGAGACTGAGATCATGTTTTTTTATCCCCACCTGCAATACCATTTTCCTTTTTCACTTTCAAGAAAAGAAACCAGGAAATCAAATAGACAGATGAGAATATCAGTGACATTTTGCAGTTAGTAATAATGGCTGTCTGGGTAATTTCCATCTTATCATCCCTTGTTTACTGGAAACTTCTTTGGCTTTGAGGCAGGTGACTCCACTCACCTGAATGTTCAGTGCTTTTCCTGATCTTTTGTCTAAAAATTAGTTGCTAATCACTGACTCCTGAGTCTGTGCTGCAGAAACATGGCTCCACTGCCTGGGACGTCAGCTCCTTGGGCACGACCAGCTCTACAGAATGTATTGATGGATGTTTTTGTTCCGGGATTTGGTTTCCTGTCTCTCAGTTTTATCTCCTCTTCTCTCTGCCATTCACTTTACCTACCACTTCTATTTCTAACCCCGGTTTCTTTTCCCTCTAACTGTTCCCGATACGACCAACACATACCCTGAAACTGAAATTCTTATTTACAAAGATATATTGAAGTGATACACACTGAGACTTCCCACAAGGGAAACTTAGATTATTGTCCTGAAAAGACAAGTACTTAACTACTCTATTTACAGTACATATCATTCTCAAGAATTTGGAAGCAAATATTGGCTCTCAACCTATTTAATTACATATACAGAGATGTTATCTAAAAGCTCCTTTGGCTGCCCTGTACACATGTTGATATTTTTAACTTCACCTTTGCTTTTTGTTTCTAAGAAGACTTAGAGAATATTTAGCTCTCAAAAAAAAAAAAAAAAAAGCGTTCCTAAAAATTAAAAAAAAGAGTTCCTAAGAGAATGTAAAAGGCATGCCTAAAGATATTCGTTAGTAATACGTAACACTAAAGCAGTTTTCTGTCATCCATGCCAGTTTTTTCAATTATTTACTAGGATGAAAGTATTGAACTTGGTCTCAGTTAAGTCTCTAGGGTAGAGAATGGTTGTTGCTGAATATATATAATGTCATATAACACTTGGGTACCATGAAATGACACGAGGGAGGGGTTTGACCGTTGTCAAAGTTTGGCAAAAGTTTTCCTCATAAAGCTTCAAAGCAGGACAGATTACCAAGTGTACCTGACAGATGGTGCATTAAAATAACGAATTTTTACGTAAAAAAGGTCGCTTCACAGGATTTGCCCCAAGGTCAAGCCTACTGGTTGTATGTTTATAAAATAGAATCTGCAGAGATTAGTCCTCACATTAGATAATGAGACACAGGGAGAAGGAGGGAGGGAGGAGTTTGTCATTTATTCATCTCAGTCCCTTGACCTTGTTTTGCACATCTAACCATAGTGTCTTGGCAGAGAGCTAGAACTATACACTTCCTTATTTAATTCATTTTGTGCATTATTGTCTTTCCACTTTACGATGGATCCATTCTTTCTCCTTTGAATTCACTTAGAAGTAACGTTCATCCCAGAAGAGAGATGAACTTCTGGCTTACATTGTATGCTCACTCTGACTAGCAACTTCCTCCCAGGTAGTGCCATGCACTGCTTGGCTTGAGGGTGATTTTTTTTTTTTTTTGCGGTACGCGGGCCTCTCACTGTTGTGGCCTCTCCCGTTGCGGAGCTCAGGCTCCGGACGCGCAGGCTCAGCGGCCATGGCTCACGGGCCCAGCCGCTCCGCGGCATGTGGGATCCTCCCGGACCGGGGCACGAACCCGTGTCCCCTGCATCGGCAGGCGGACTCTCAACCACTGTGCCACCGGGGAAGCCCCGAGGCTGAATTTTTGAACTTAACCATGACTGGTTTACACAAATCCAGATATGCCTCTGGAGCCGAGGGCAGTGCCAACGTAAGTCTTTTTTCTTTTCTCCCTGCCTGCCAGCAGGATAACAGGATGGAGAAAGATGATAGAAAATGGGAGCGCATTTTAGCAGAGGCCCCTGTGTTTCTTGCACCGTCACTGTAGTGCGCCGACTTGATGAATCCCATTGAAAAGGTAAATTACAGACATTCATCTGCAAGTGATTTTTCAAAAGTCTTCATGTTAGTTAATCTCTTGTTGCTGCAACAAATTACCATGAATTTAGTGGCTTAAAACAACACGTGTTGGGCTTCCCTGGTGGCGCAGTGGTTGAGAGTCCGCCTGCCGACGCAGGGCACACGGGTTCGTGCCCCGGTCCGGGAGGATCCCACATGCCGCGGAGCCTGCGCGTCCGGAGCCTGTGCTCCGCAACGGGAGAGGCCACAACGGTGAGAGGCCCGCGTACCACAAAAAAAGAAAACAACACGTATTTATTCTGTGGATACAGAATATATGGGGGTCAGAAGTCCAAAATGGTTCTTATCTGGCTGAAATCAAGGTATGAGCAGAGCTGTGTTCCAGCTTCTCAAGGAGAGGATCCTCTTCCTCACTTTTTCCAGCTTCTGGAGGCGCCGGCATCCCTTGACTCATGGCTCCTTCCTCCATCTTCAAATCACTTTCTGACTTGACTCTTGCGCCTCCTTCTATTAGTTAAAGATCTTTGTGATTCCATTGAAGCCACCTACATAACCCAGGGTAACCCCTCAATCTTGAAATCATTAATTACATCTGCAAAGCCCCTTTGGCCGTGTAAGATAACATCTTCGCAGGTTCTAAGGATTAGGAGGTAGACATCTTTGGGGACATTCTCCTGCCTGCCATACTCATAGACCCACACAGTGTGCTAGCAGAGTTCACCTCCCTTGAGTTTCTAGCCCTCTGTGGACACAGGAGAAAGGTTTGGGTTTTTTTGTGTGTCTTTGCCTGATATTTCTGTCTTGGATGTTACTATTCTAATTTTAGTAAGAATTAACATCATCTGTGTTTGTGTAGACACCTGGGGGTTGATAGATGTTCAGGTTGCTAGTACTGATAATGTAATTACACAAGGGGAGAGGAGGTAGCACCTTGGCAATTGAAACCCTGTGAATCGTAGATAGAGGGGTTTTTTTGTTTTGTTTTTGTTTGGGGGTTTGGGGGGGGTCCACATCTAGGGGCATGTAGGATCTTAGTTCCCCCGACTAGAGATGGAACCAACACCCCCTGCAGTAGAAGCAAGGAGTCTTTGGACGGCCAAGGAAGTCCCTAGGTAGAGGTTCTTATTTTTTTAATTTATTTTTACATATTTATTTATTTGGCTTCGCTGGGTCTCAGTTGCGGCATGGGGGACTGTTTCAGTTGCAGCATGCATGCAGGATCTAGTTCCCTGACTAGGGACCAAACCCAGGTCCGCCTGCATTGAGAGCATGGAGTCTTAACCACTGGACGACCAGGGAAGTCCTTAGATAGAGGTTTTTATTTTTTATTTATTTATTTTTTTTGTTTTTTGTGGTACGTGGGCCTCTCACTGTTGCGGCCTCTCCCGTTGCGGAGCACAGGCTCCAGACGCGCAGGCCCAGCGGCCATGGCTCAGGGGCCCAGCCGCTCCGCAGCATGTGGGATCTTCCCGGACTGGGGCACGAACCCGCGTCCCCTGCATCGGCAGGCGGACTCTCAACCACTGTGCCACCAGGGAAGCCCAGATAGAGGTTTTTAAAACTTGCCTTATAGTGACCTGTTCAATGAACTCACAGAGTCTTCTAACTTCTGTCTTTTAGGCTTATGTACAGAAGTACATTGTGAAGAATCATTTCTACTATTACCTATTCAGATTTTCAGCCGCTTTGGGACAAGAAGTGTTCTACATTACATTCCTTCCGTTCACTCACTGGAATATTGATCCTTATTTGTCCAGAAGACTGACCATAATATGGGTTGTAAGTATTATTATTACTTATGAACCAGTATTATTTCCACAACAGCTACCTGCTTTGGTATTCAAGTACTCTGCATATATGCTCTTTACTAAAAATCACTTAGAGTTGAATTTTTACCCTGCTTTTCTTTGGGAAAATGGAAGGAAAGATTTAAAAGCTATGCGTAAATAAGACTATGAGAGAGGAAGAGATGATGTGCAGGAAAAGGACCTTTCTGAGAATCTATGAAGGGACAAAATGCTTCCTCCCAAGAAACCCCTTTTAGTAAAATTTGATCAAAAAAACAAACTAGGAGCTGTTGACTAATAATTCCTAGTGGTATTAAGTGTAACTACCCCATGTCTATTGGATACACAAAAGCACATAAGGCAGGGCAACTTCTCTGAGGAAGCTTGTAGTATTATGGGGGCAGCTGGTGTATACACGAAAACCCAATGATAATTCTGGGTGGAGAGGTGGAGCCCCTTCTGATGTTTTGTTTGGGACCCTATCGTTGAACTTTGTTCAGGATCAAATAAGTTCTGATTTTTATTATTTATTCATTTAATTTATTTTTGGGGCCTCATTGGGTCTTAGTTGCAGCACGCAGGGTCTTTGTTGAGGCATGCAGGCTTCTCTCTAGTTGTGGCGTGCAGGTTTTCTCTTCTCTGGTTGTGGTGCGCAGGCTCCAGGGCAGGTGAGCTCTGTAGTTTGCGGCATGCAGGCTCTCTAGTTGAGGCACGAGAGCTCAGTAGTTGTGGTGTGTGGGCTTAGTTGCCCAGTGACGTGTGGGATCTTAATTCCCCGCCCAGGGATCAAACCCTCATCCCCTGCATTGTAAGGTGGATTCTTTACCACTGGACCACCAGAGAAGTCCCTGATTTTTTTTTTTTTTAAACTGGGGGAGATGGTGGTTATTTGCAAGGCAGCAAGGCATGCTGCCAGCATCCAGACCCTGGGTTCAGGTATGCCTGGGTTCAAGTGCAGCTCAGCCACTGCGCTTGTCCATGTGCCCTTGTCCTGAGCCTGTAAAATGGTGTTAATGCACATCTCCCAGAATCATCATGAAGACATGCCTGGTGCATGCGAGGACTCTGCAAGTCGCCATAAGTGTGCTAACACGTGGTGATGAGTCCAAGAAGACGAAAGAGTCTTAAAGATCAACCAATTCTTAGGTCAAAGATGGTTTAGCCGGGAGAGCGTGCTTCAGGGACAAGGTTGCCTGCGCGGCTGTTTACCTGACTCAAGATTCTGCTCTGAAAACAGCTTCAGAAGTGCCTAGTCAAGAAATATTTTAGATTCCACATATGAGTGATATCATATGATATTTGTCTTTCTCATTCTGACTGACTTCACTTAGTATGATATTCTCCAGCTGCATCCATGTTGCTGCAAATGGCGTTATTTCATTCTTTTTTATGGCTGAGTAGTATTCCATTTTATATATGTACCACATCTTCTTTATGCATGAACCTCTCTACGAAACAGAAACAGACTGGTAGACTTCGAGAACAGACTTGTGATTGCCAGTGTGGAGGGCGGGGAGCAGAGGGAAGGACTGGGAGTTTGGAATTAACAGATATAAACTAGGATATACAGGATGGATAAACAACAAGGTCCTAGAAAAGAATATGAAAAAGAATATATATGTGTATAACTGAATCGCTTTGCTGTACAGCAGACATTCTAACACAACATTGTAAATCAACTACCGTTAAAAAAAAATTAAAAAGAAATGCCTGTTGTATCTAACGAAGCTGGGGTTCTCCGGCTGCTCTGCTCTGAGAAGCCGTGGCTGCACCCCTGGTGCTTTTATTTTTCTCATTTGTAGAATAAGTGAGAGGTGCCTTGATCAGGAGGCCTAAGTGCAGATATCCTAAAAGGCAGGGCAGAGGAGCAAAGCAGTGACGTGCTGGGTGGGGCACCTGGGCCATTGGGAGTGGCTACCCCTTACCTCCACCTGTGCCTGAGAGAGGAAAGACAGGCTGGTGTGGTCAGATCTCTTTTTCATGTGAAGTCTTTAAATGTAGGGCTTAAATTTTTAAAAGCTCTATATGCCAGTTGAACAAAGAATCCTTGAAGTCTAAACGTCCTAGGCTTGGTTTGAAGCCTCTGGCCTTGAAGAACAGCTAAGGTCCCTCGGGCTTATGGTTAAGATTATTTGGCCCCGAATTCTTCCTATTTGCTCCTTTTCTCTCTCAAACTACAAGCCACTTTTTCCTTTCTCCATGCCTGTCTCCCTTCCAGCCCTCTTCTGAAATCTAGCTTCCGTCTAAAAGTATGATCCAACGAGAATCTGCAAAAGCACAGGCATCTTGCAAAAGACGAGCATGTGTGCAGTTGTTCCTCTCCTTCTGGAAGCGGCTTCCATCCCTGCAGAGTGGTGATGTCCACTGGAGGAGCTGGGGCAGGAGAGGCAGGGAGCGGGGTGCAGTCCTTCTGTTCTTAGGACGTGAAAATGCACCCAAGACCCATAGTGCTTGAGCTTCTTTTCCTGTCATTTATTTTCTGAGATACCAAAAAAATAAATAAATAAAAATCCAACTTTTATGGTTGTCAAGTGGGGCAAATGATGCAAAATACTTCTAGTAACCTGGGAATATCTTATACTGTGTACAGTCAGTTCAAGGCAAATTGTCTTGCCCACTGAGGGTGGAAAACTTTTCCTGAGGGGCCGGGAAGATCTTTAGACCTGATGGGAGGCAGTGGTTAGGGGACTCAGATTGTCATTATGGGTTGTTATTTTTCACTTTGGAGTCCTCATTTCAAAGGGCTCAAAAGATTTCCCATTTGAGGTAGAATTACCGGTATTTTGTCAGAGAGTGGACAAATACCAGGGAGAGGGAAGAGCAACCTTTGACTATGCAGTTTGTCCTGAGCTTTGGCGATGTGCTATTTGCTTTCAGAAATGGGTGCATGGCCGGGTCCAATAGGCCCCCATGCAGAGAGGTATGTAATTCGTATCAGTGAAGCAATGTGTGCATTCCTGGCAGTTCCGGTGGAGGGAATAGTGGCCGGTCCAGGGTGGGGATGGAGGGAGGGAAGGAAGAAGGGGCAGAGGGCGAGAGGTAGAGGCTGGGGTGGGTGGGGGAGGGTTCGGAGGTGGGAAGGTGTTTGCTTTGTGCTCTGCTGCAGAGATAGATAATAATGAGAGAGGCTCGCTTTGGCTCCAGTGTTGAAAGTGGGTGGAGGGAAGGAAAATTCCTGATGGTGTTGGCAGTTGGGAGGGAAGGAGGGGTGGGTGGAGACAGGTGAGATTCTTTT